GGGAGGCTGAGGCAGGAGAATCACTTGAACCTGGGAGGCGGAGGTTGCAGTGAGCTGAGATCACGCCACTGCACTCCAGCCTGGGCGACAGAGCAAAACTCTGTCTCAGAAACAAAAACAAACAAAAAACACACAGAGAATGTGAAAGTCAGGGTGAGCTGGATATGGGAAGGTAAAAAATGGTGAGGCCGGATGAGTGAGGGCAGATGAAGCAATGCTTCATTGGGAGCAATGCTGCAGCTACCAGTGAGATATCTGGAGGCACCCGCATGGCAGTCATACTGTCAGCCTAAGCAAGTGGTGACATTATCAAAGATCTACTGGGTTAAGAAGAGGAGGGGATGTTACTTTTTTGGGTCATGTTTTAGCCTTCCAGATGTAGGACTGAAAGACATCTTGGAGATCCTATAGTACAACTGTCTTGGGTTGTTGTTGTTGTTTTCTTCCTCCACAGAAGAGGAAAACAGGTTCTGAGATGTGAATGATCAGCCCACAAGGGCTCTGTGAGCTCGGGTGGAGAGAGGTCCTGGCAGTCCCAGCTCAGAGCTCCTTCTTGGGCCTCGCAGCCCTGGCATTTGGACTGGCTGCTGCCAACCCATCCTGAGGGTGTGTTTTGGTTTCCTAGGGCGACTCAGGAGGACCCCTGGTCTGCGAGGAGCCCCCTGGCCGGTTCTTTCTGGCCGGCATCGTGAGCTGGGGAATTGGGTGTGCAGAAGCCCGGCGTCCGGGGGTCTATGCCCGAGTCACCAAGCTACGTGACTGGATCCTGGAGGCCACCACCAGAGCCAGCGTGCTTCCGGCCCCCACGGTGGCTCCTGCCCCCGCCGCCCCCAGCACGGCCTGGCCCACCGGTCCTGAGAGCCCTGTGGTCAACACCCCCACCAAATCCACGCAGGCCCCCAGCACTGTGCCTCTTGACTGGGTCACCGTTCCCAAGCTACAAGGTATTTTCGGGGCAGAAAGGTAGAAGATGATGTACGCGCCTATCTTGATTTAGGGAGAATTGATATCTTCATAGTATTTTCATAATTTTAGGTCTTCCTGTTCAAGGAAAGGTCACGTGTATCCATTTATTCCCATCTTCTGTTGCGTGTA